GAGTTAAGTGAGATTTTACAGCGTCATCGTCGTTAAAAGTTTTACCACGAAGAGAGTTGTCCAGGGATCGAAATAAGTGGTGATCCGATGGCGCGAGATCAGGGCTATATGGTGGGTGTAACATCAATTGCCAACCAATATCCATCAATTTTTGCCGAGTGGACAAAGACGTGTGCGGCCTAGCATTGTCCTGCTAGAAAATGACACCTTTACGATTGACCAATTCTGGTCGCTTTTCCTTGACCGCTGCATTCAATTTGTCCGGTTGCTAATATTCACGGATAATAAAAAATAACATAATAATAATAATAATAATTGTATAATATAACTTTACGGATATCATACAAATGGGAGTGAGAGACGTCTATAACTGAAATCGGCAATTACTTAGTTGCCAACCCAATAATTGTATCTCCTCTTCCCAAAATTATCCTTTTTTATGCGAAATCTGAGCGCAAATTAGGGAGAAATTACTGTACTCGTACACTTGGTAACATAACAATAATAATAATAATAATAATTTTATAATATAACATTTACGGACATCATAAAAATGGGAGTGAGATACATCTATAACAGAAATCGGCAATTACTTAGTTGCCAACCCAATAATTGCCAGGAAATTGGGAAACGCTTTAAATACACTAGGTTAAAATGACCCGGCGATCGCAGATCAAGAATTAGCGCGCGTGAAGCGCAATGTAAAAGTTGGTCGTCTCTGGAGAAAGACGGGGAGCAGAAGCCGAGGGTAGTTTCGGGGTGGTAGCGGAAATGGTAGTGGAGTTAGTTACGATAGTGAGGAGCCCTGGTTCGCCTCGGGGCACCTCGACTAATTAAAGCTCATAAATTACGCGGACGTGGAAACAGACTGACGAGAATATGCCACCGTAACGGACGGACGTGCCCGAAGGCTCGGGCAAAGCGCGTGCATAGGACCCGAATGCTGACGAAAAATGCGTTACGTCACATTTTCGGCTAGGCAATGAAATTTTCTAGACCAGCCCAGTCTCTTAGACTCCAGTTACCAGTTGGTAACAGTGTTACCGGAATTTAATTTTTTTTATCTGCATATTGAAAAAATTTAAAAGTTGAAAGATTAAGCTAAAGCGAGAAATGTTCTTGAACTTTAGCCGAGAAACGCCTTTGTGGTGAGAAACGTTTTGGTTATGCAGGAATCGGGAACAGTCGAACATAATCTAATCGAGACTATGATCTCTACTTCCGGAAGGAAGGAAGTTATACTTCAATAAAAATTAAATTATGATGCAATCATCATAATTTAATTTTTGAAGTATGCATTTGGATTCGAAAAGGTGCAGACGGATAAAAACAAGTACTTGATGTGAAAATTATAATGTTCATATATGTAACCTTGTTTCGAAAACCTTTTAACGTT